GGGAGGGGATATAGACTCTAGAAAATCTACTACGGGTAATATATTCTTATTATCTAATAAGAATAAAGATAATAGTATAGCTATTAGCTAGCTATCTAAATTACAAAAAATAGTAGCTATTAGTTCAGCCGAGGCCGAATATATAGCCTTAAAAGAAGCTACTAAAGAGAGTCTATTCTTAAATAATTTTATTAAAGAACTCTTTAATAGTAACTCTAATATTAAAGAATATTATAAGATCTTTAATAAAATAAATACTATTAAAATAGACTCTTTAAGTACTATAATAATAATAATAATAATATTAGTAAACTAGGTAGAGTACCACTCTATAGGCGCATGCCTCCTCTAGTCTAAGCTACTATATAAGAAGAAACCTACGAATAGGAAAAACTCCCTCATATCCATGACTACGCTCTATCTATCCTCTCGTTCTTTATATATATATAGCCCTAGGGGCTACCTATGGGCCTATAGCCTATATTATAATAGTTTACCCTTAGGTAGCACGTATAGATGCGGAGATTATTAGTTAAGGGCTACCCTTAACTAATAATCGCGGTTCTCCCGGGGTTCTTCCGACGTATACCGGGGTTCTTCCGGCATATATCGGGGTTCTTCTAGTATATATACGCGGGTCTACTAGAACTAGGGGAGAGGAAGGTATACGAGTATCTATCGGGCGACGTCCTTAGGGTACTTATTAAGCTATCGCGTAATGTTAGAGGTCCTTATTATATAGACGAGGGCTTATCTTAGGGTATAGAGGCTAGAGCACGTCGCGAGGTAGTAGCGTATTATACCTCTCCGGCCGTAGTCCTCGCACTAGGGAGATATATCTAGGATACCTCTCTAGTAGAGGTAATATAGGAGACCTATAGCGCCTATTCGGGCTTAGAGGAGTATAGATGCTTAGGCCTTCGTTAGCCCTTTATACATCTATTTACTCGGTTCCTTCTAAGGCCCTTAGATCTATTCTAGATACCTATTCTATTAGGAGGCCTACTAGGCTTTAAGTACCTCCCTCTATTTATTCTAGATCCATGACCGTATAACGCGGCTAAGCTCCTTAGGGCTCTATTAGCTCGGGATAGTATCCGGGTTATTTTAAACCTTCTACGCGGTCTAGCTCGAGTCCGCCTCTATATAGTATTTATATTATACTCGAGTTTAGTCTATAGTAGGGAGGGCCTAGTAATGTGCGTGGATACGTGTATATAGTACGGCGAAGGTATATACCCTATCTCCTCCACGTTCTTATGCTTATTATTTAGTAAAGTATATAAGTCTCTATATCTAGTAGAAGTCCTATATACTCGTTACGTTTATCTCGCGTCGGAGGAGCATTATATTAGTAGCTTTATATACGCCGGAGATAAGGCGGAGTATACGGTTTTATATAGACTTAAGCTTTACTCGCCGAGCTTATATAAGGGCCGTATACTAGTACTCGTATCTATATATAAAGGCTAGGCGTACTAGGGAGACGTATAGCTATCTCGCCTTATTCTAGGCTATTCTCTACGTGGATGCCGTAATCCGGCGTATAGCGGTTTCTACCTAGAGGGCTCTAGAGACGGCGTGTGCCACCTATGGTCCCTATTTTAGCTTATTATTAATCATGACGCCGAGTACTCGTATGCTCTATACTAGTAGTTCTATAAAGGCGTCGATTTAGGGGCGACGTGCCCCCTCCCTAGTAGCTTATCCTCTATAGCGGTTAATAAAGTATATAAGCTAGTATTTTTTAGGTGCGAATTTTACTCCGTGGCGCTTTACCTACTAGACATATTTCTCGTGGTCTCATTCGAGTTATGTACATGTTCTACTAGTACTACTATCGACCGTAAGGAGGTATATATCGTCCGCGTATCCGACTACCTCTATATATTCTATTCCCTAAAGGAGGTCTACTATAAAGAAGAGAAAGAGGATCGGGGAGATGGTACTCCCTTACGGGATGCCGTATACCGTCTCCTTATATTTGCTTCGGTATCTAGGGATATATATTTAAGTAGTCCTTTACGCGAGGAAGGACTATATAAATTATATAATCTACTTAGGTATTCGCCTTATCCGGAGGTTATAGATAAGTCTTATATAGTTTACCTTATTAAACGCCCCTACTATATCTAGGGAGAGTAGCGTGACGACTCGTCCTTATTTCTATATAGTCTAGATAACCTTAAGGATATATTAAATAGCTATAATTAGGGAGCTTCCTACCTTCGCCTTCTAGTTTACTAGGAGAAGGCCGTATACCTATACTACTATACTTATCTTCTTAGTAATTATAGCTTCTAGTATCTTACTAAGGTAGGAGAGAAGGGCGATCGGCCTCCATCCCTTCGGCGTGTTTAGGCTCTTCCCTAGTTTTAGGAGTATAACCGTGTATATAGTTTAGAAGCTCTATAGGTGGTATTCTATACGGGCGCACGCTCGGAATATATAGCCTATAATTAGTAAGGTCGCCTATATGGTCCTCTTAAGGCATCGATTCGGAATTCCGTCTAGCCCGGGCGCTTTATCGTTTAGGAGTATCTTAATAGCGCCGAGTATATCGTCGTCCGTGATTTCTCTAGGGATACTTATAGCTTCCGGGTATTCCGTGCCGTTAATATCTAATAGGTCTACGGGTTCTAGGAGAGGGAATATAACCTCTTATAGGATCTCTATTTTCTTAAGGCTCGTGGAGTACGTCTTTTCTTAATATATAAGGGGGGGTATAAGTGGTATAGGTGTCGGGGAGGCGGTGCTTTTAGCCCATTTTACTATATACCATAGTCTAGTAGTATTACGTGTATATCTATCCGTAACTATACGCTACTATTTATATTACTTATTACGGAGGACCTTATCTCATTATCTTCTCGCCTCTCTCTATTTATCCTACGCTTTAGGTATGCGGTTATAGTATATATATATATATAATCTCTAGACTTCTCGCCTATGCTCTTGCACTTAAGGTATACTTTTTAGGTCTAGGGGTCTATATATTCGGTACGGCACGTATTTATCTCTTGCTCCCTAGTACGCCTATAGGAGTATATTTATGGCCTAGTTAATGGCCGGGCCATTAGATACGTCAACTATAGACGGGTCTAGGATCGTCGATTCTAGGTCCTTTAGGTACTTTTCCTAGTTAGTGTCCTTCTATAGCTATCGCCCTTATTAGTCTTAAGGGGTAGATACGTCTATTACGGTCTCTATATATTTATAGTCGGAGTCTATCTATATAAGGCTTAGGCGGTAGTATTAAGTCCTATTATAAATATATCTAGTGGCTAGGGTGAGGTCGAGTGTGGATCCGCCCTTATCTTATTTATGTTTTCGCTAGATAATCTATTCTACTAGTATAAGAAGGTATAGGAAGCCGTGGTATTAGGTACGTAGTTCTCTAGCTCGAAGCTCTTCGCGGGTGACGGTTAGTCTACTCTACTAGCTATAATAGAGGTTAAAGTCTCCTAGGAGGATATATTATTCTAGCTCGGTGGTACCCTTAAGCATATTATCCGCCTAAAGCGATTAGTTCTAATTATATATATTATATATATAGAGGGGTCCGATATTCGTCTAGAGGTGTAGTATTATCCGGAGGTTATCCCGTTTAGTATACGACTATAATAAGAGTAGGATAGACTTATAGATATAGAAGAGGACTCTCCTCTCCGGTCCTAGGGGGTGTATTATATAATATCCTAGGTGTGTTATTGGTTTGTTCGTCTAGTAGTATTTATATAGCTCCTATATGGCGAGTATTACAGCTCCGGTCTCCTTAAGGAGTATCGCCTAGTTCTTACGTTTATACTATACGTTTACCTATATAATTAGAAGTATATCTTAGTCTCTTATTAGGTGCTAGGGAATATATAGGCCTATATATTTATTCCTCTAAGACGCGACTATCCTCGTACGGCGGCGGCCTTAGTAATTTCTCGGGGCTATTCTATTATTAGCTTTCTTAGGACGGTTTACTATTTCTAACCGCTTCCTTATAAGGAGGTAGTCTATAGTAGTAGTATTATAGTAAAGAGAGGAATAGTAGTAGGTTATATCGTTTATAGCTACCTTACTCCCTTCATCTGGATTAAGTAGATATATTCGGTAATCTATTTGCGTTTCGCGCACGTAGCCGACCACGACGGGTACTTACCGTCGTAGTTAGAGTACTTCGCCATGTCTCTATCCCTCTAGCCCTCTCCTCGTATTCTATAGGGGTACTCCTAGGTACTATATTCTTATCGACACCATCTATATCTAGTCTTTTAGGAGTACCGCTATACTATATACCCGTATCCCTAATAGTTAAAGCACTATATTATCGCCTATGCTCTATCCCATGGTTCCGCTATAAGAAGCTCCCCTTCCGCTAGGAATCCCTCTTACGTAATTTAATACGCGAGGGCGGGGTCCTTAAGCTCTACTATTATAGTAGAGTGTGCCTTTAATCTAGTTTTAATCCCTTATATGTTCTTCTACCATGCTCTTACGATCTTAATCCCTAGGTATTATGGAAGGCCGCTCCTATAGCCCCACATGTATGTGTCCCTAGCTCGATTACATGGCTTTATTATATATTTAAGGAGTGCGTTTTCCTTGGTCATTCTACTCGGCGCGCTTCCCCCATCACTAATATTCGACTATTCGATCTTTCCTTACGTTCATAGGCCTCTATAGGTATTAATTATTAGGCTTAGCTATTAAAGAATTGATTGAGAGTATTATATAGACCCGTCCTATCGTAAAAGAGAACTAATAAGAAGTCGTGCGTTCAAAGAGAACTTATAATACCTAGGAGAGATACTTATGAGTTCGTCGCGACTACTATACTAGAAACATAGCTATTTATAAAAGGGACACACGTGGCAATAGCTTACTATAATTTTAGAGGTTATACCCGGACTACGAACTTATAGGGGGAGATTAGGACTCCGAAACTAGCTTAGGGGAAGTATATAGCGTGCCTAATAAGGTAGTCTAGACTTACTAGATCGAAGCCACGAGTCCGGAAAACAGGGAGTCCGGAGTTACTAGGGGCTAGCCTCTTAAAAGTAGCTATAAAAAGCATGCGTATACTAATACGGGTAATAGCGCGACTCGAAAATGTCTTAGGGGAATAGGATATAAAATAGGGCTAGATGAAGTAGCAAAGAAGAGTTTAAAAACGATAAATATAACCTATTTAGTACTACTATAGCTGTTATTTATAAACACGGCTATATAAGTATACTACTTTAGGAACGCCTCACACGAAGATAATAACATAAGTAGGATACTATGAACCTTATATCGATGAAGACGATAGTAATAGTTCACCTTATAAAGGGATTAGTTAATATAGAGAAGGGATGATAGGTGTTATAGGTAGACGCATTAGGCTAACCTTTAGTTAAGGTAATCCCTTAACTAATAACCTTACCCCTAGCGTCTCTACTAGCATATCTACTACTAGTAATAGTACGATAGAAGCTTAAAACAACGACCTAGTAACTCGTAGAGAGATACTTAACTTCTTCGTAGCATTTACGCGACAAGGAAGAATAGTATCTCTATCTACCCTAGCCCCTAAGCGCTTTAAAGGAATAAACATCACGGTCTTTCTTTAGAAGTACGAGGACATATATATAAACTATGAAGTTCCGCCTAATAAGAAGATAACCTCCCTACTATTATACTACGAGGACTATCTCCGTCCTACCATTAAAGAAATAAGTAGGTTTTAGAAATAGTAGTAGGCTACGCTACGTGAAGAATTATTAAAGGAATTCTCTCTATTTAACTCTACCCTCGAGGAAGGCACCATCTACTTTATCCGAAAATACGTGGAAATGGTTAAAGTAGAGCCATTCTACTCTCTCTCTATATACTACTCCTAGTATTATATTATCATAGAGAAACTTACGGCTAAAGGAAGCCTAAGCTTATATTCGCGAATAGAGCTCTTTCTAGAAGGGCTACCTAATAGTCTTAAGGCTCGGGCTATAGAGAAATGTTAACTCACGATGGAAGTACATAGTTATAACTAGGTAATTATCTATAGCTTCGTATTACGAAAGGCTAGAGCACTTAAGGAACTAGCTTATATTAATAAGTACTTAGCCGCATAAGAGCTAGCCATAGCTATATACTATAAATCAAAGATAGGGAGTAGGAAGACCGGCTTAGAAGAGTAGTTACATGAAGAAAGAAGAACTAATGAATTTAACCACCCCTCTCTAGTCGTAGTACACGTCGCGCTAGAATCGGATAAGTTTAACGAGATAGTAGAGAGATTTAGTAAACTAGACCTTACGTTAATTAAGATAAAGTCCTACTTTATCTCTAATCCCTTATTCCCATCCCTTAAGAAGTACGAACCTAAGCTACTTTCGGCTATTATTAACTAGTAGGCGCGAAGGCTAAATCTTTTAGTATATCCCTAAGTACGAGGCATACCT